ACATCTAGAGGATCGTGCGGCAAACCATGGAGCGGCTGCTACACAAAACAGCTCGCCAGCTAGACCCAGCCCTATCTCAAGTCAAACTTCTGGAGCTGTGAGACCTCGCCCGCGTCCAGGACCTCCCACCAATCGTCCTCCGTCACCTGCTCCAAATAGCCGTGGCGAGGGCACCCTTCCTGCCCGCACCGGTGTGGGGAGGCCACGAACCCCAACACGACCTTCCAGTCGTGCTGGTTTGACCACCAGTGGGAGCAGTGGCTCGTTGAGAAGTGGTGGACCTATCAGTGGAAGCAGTGTTGGTTCTATTAGAACGGTTGTGTCTGCCAGTGGAGGAAAGACGAGCAATTCTACCACCTCGACGCAGGGAAGGAGAGTGAATGGCGGTGCGGGTAATGTAACCGCCAGCCCCTCGGGCCGATCTGGTAGCCCCAGTGTGAGATCTGGCAGCCCGGGTGTCCGCTCCACCACCCTGGCCTCCGATCTGGCAGCCCCAGTGTGGGATCTGGCAGCACTCCGCGACCAGTCCCGGTGGCTGGTCGTCGAGTCGCAGATCTCGTCAGGGGGTGGACGGAGGCGGTGGAACCGCGGGGATCTCAGGAGCGACCAGCCTCGGCTGGCGCTTCGCGGCAGACCACCACTGGGAAACCAGCGACCGGTGGGAGCTCCGGGGCAAGGAGTCCAGCCAATGGAGGCTCCAAGAGTCCATCCGGCGGAGGCTCCAACAGGGCCAAGAGTCCGGCCGGTGGAGGTTCCAACGCGGCCCTGACGGCGGCCAGCGCGGAGCAGCCAGAACAGAGAGACAAGGTGGGTAGAAAGCAGCGATGGCGGTGGCAGCGGTGACTGAAGGGATACTGCGATAAATGGCTTGGTTACTTCATTTAACGCTATCCCAGCTGGTCTTGGTGATGAGTTTCTAAGTTCTAGGGGATCAAAAGCCTCAGAAAATAACCTGCAATGCCCTGTCTGTAAGTTATGACTAGTAAATTTGTGCTCGTAAAGTTATGCTCGTAATGCTCGTAAATGTATCACCTTGAGAATTATTGAGGGCAAGTCTACCTTTATCTAATGACGAAAGTAACAGGACATATTTTAGCAGGAGCTTAGGCTCAAGTTCCAAACTGAGCTGGTCCTCTAGATTATATCGTCATCGGCACCGCTAGATGGCGATAACTGCTACACGCGGAGCCCGATATGGGACAAACTTCCAATTCTGCCGCTAGAGGACAGTAGGTGTAACGCCTATGTGATGCTGTGCCGCAATACTTCGTGGTTTCGCTACGCGTCTCGTAGTGATTCTTAGGGTGATGCGTATTGGCGATTGGTTTTAGGCATACGTGATGCTTTCCGTGATAAGGATCTCAGATAAACAGCTTTGGGGATTGACCTTCGATATCATAAAGTGAAGTCCCCTACCTTTTCGTACAGTCTCGCTCGCTTTTACCATTCGCCTCACAACAGTCTGTACGTGTACATTTTCTGTGCATGTTTTATCCTCTTTGTAGATGCATTAGCTTTACTGATCATCAATAGCATGACTTTATTGTCGACCAATTTTATCTTAGATTTATATCGTGTATCGCCCCCATGAGCCCTCCCCTCTCACTCTCTCCTCGCCCTCACTCTACCCTCTCTTCGACAGGTGCGTCGCCGTCTCTCCAGTGAAACATCCGCCAAGATTCCGGCCACCCAAAGCCAAGCTCTCGGTCAAATCCTGACCGCCCTCAGTCGCGGCCACAGCCCGCGCGCGCCTCTACGCCGGGCTACCACTTCTTCTACTAACCCTGCCACCACCACTACCGAGCCTGGAGCCGAAGTCCGGGCAGAGGTTCGTCGTCTCCGTGAACTAGCTGCCCAGAGGCTACGTCAGGCGCGGCTGGAGACATCAGATGGTGAGGTAGCTGATTCTCTGACTTCAGCAACGGCTTCTGAGGATGGTGACGCGAGTCTGGAGGAGAGACTGAAGCTGCTGGATGATGGAGCAGGAGGACGGCATGGTCAGCCACTCGTGCTGACGGCGGGGGAAGGACTGCTGCAGAGGATACTAGGAGGTAGGGGAGGACAGAGACTAAAACCGAGACCCGCTGGAGAGTGACGTCATGGTGACGGAGTGACGTCATTTGATTGTGAGGCGAGTGGTTAGGTGTGATGTCAAATGATGTTGTGTGACACCAGACCAGATATGTGAGGTCAAACTGACGTAATAAAGCCACTGTGTTCCCACCGAGTCAAGAAGCACGAGAGAAAGACAATGACTCAGAAAGGAACTGATAATAATGAACCTGTCGAAGCACAGGTGACGTGATATTGAACCAATCAGAGTGCAGATCAGGGCGGATTTGGACCAATCAGAAAGCCTGGTCGTTGATCGGAGCGAATAATTAATCATCGCTATGGCTGTTCGAGAGACCATAGACATTGGACGGTGATCCCTGTGAAACATATCAGAGAGTGGGCAAAGTGGTCTCTGAGCTTACTGAGACTTTCGCTGATTGTTCTAGAAGGCTCCATGTGCGCGAATTTCGTACCCCGGAGTCTTGTGGCCTCCTTGTAATGGGCATGCTATGAGTGTTGCGATTGGAAGCGAAATTTAGACAAATGTTCTGACTATCTGATGTGTTGACGTCGTGAAAGTCATGGGTTAAAGACAGAGTGGTCACAGCCTTGTAGTGCTATAATATAAAGTGATCGTTAAAGCGATTTTGTGCCTACGATATTTGTTGGATATTGCTATCAATGTTCTCACTTGCTGATCCGATATCTCTAATGAACCATCCCTATTATCGAGGTTTCTTGTGTAGTTATTCCGAGTGAAAATGGCGCCATTCCAGTGTTCATTCCAACCTAGATGGTTGACTGTTCCTCTCCGAAGTTTTGACAATGGGCATCGACATTCGGTGCAATTCCATTTGCTCCGTTTGATAAACATAAATATTGGCGCATCAACTTATGACTCATTGTGATATGAGTTCGAATTGTATGCGAGTCGCCCTGAGCTATGGTGTTACCGAGTCTGTTACGTGAACTGCGTATCGACTTCTGAAAGTTGTGACACTTGTGACATGAACGATTTCTGTAACATTTTGTGACAACTGTGAATTGTGATCAACACAGTCGCCTTTGCTGGCATCATGAAGTCACCTATAAACTAAGTGTCCGCTATAGTCCGTTTTCAATGTGATTCCATCGTATATACGCTATTATATTTACTGTATGTCCCTGTATATGTGACCCACACTGGGTCAATTAGGGGGCTGTTGCGCCACAAAAGCAGTGCAATCGCCGGCGAATTGTGATATGTGTCCGCAGTGTCCGCCGGATACTGTGTCCGCAGTGTCCGCCGAATATTGTGTCCGCGATTGTCCGCAGTTGTGTCCAGATATCTGGATATTTGGATGGATAGTGTGTGTGTGTGGATGATGGGGAAGGGTCAGGGCATGTCCCAATATACAGACACTTTGTAAATGTTGTGATTTTATGAGTCCGATACTGGTGGGTTAAATTGGGAGAAGGCGAGTTCGAGGGAATCAAAACACACAATTTATACCGCGTTGTCGTGTATTTCCAGTGTTGTAAACAGCATAATGTGTAAATTCCCAATAGAGGACGAAAAAAATCCCGAACCCACACCGGTGCACAAGTCTGTCTGGCCCGTAGACCAATCAACGAAAGTCTATTTACGCAACAACCAATCAGCGTGCGTCTTCCCCCAGTAGCAGCCAATCAGCGGGCGCCACCGCCCGCGTCGACCAATCAGCAGCCGATGATCGCGTTACGTCATCATCGAACAGGGCTGGCCTCGTTTATTTCAGACATTTCTTGATGCCTTACATTTAGCTGCATGCGAGGGGGTATAATTGTGAAAATTATTCAGGTTTAAAATATGTGCACAGCAAACATGCAAAGCATCGTGCGATTTTATCTATAGCTGTGTTGTGTCCGCTAGATATTGGGTCAAAGTTCAGCACAAATACCAAGCGCCGACTACATACTCGCAACCCTCACACACGCATTGCAGCACTCCTGAACACACAGATAACTCCTAAACATAAACCCCTGTCTCACTCATCACTGTACGGCAAAGAAGACGTTTCTAGGTAAAGCCTTGCGTAAAATATGACGAATATAGATAAAGCATCACATAGTAACTCGTATAGAAATATCTGGAAGACAAAGACAGATACTATTCGATGTATACCAATAACCAAAGCGATTAAAGCTTTTCCTAAAAAAAGTACACAGCCTCCTTTCGTTGATCCACTAGGGTGTCTTCTAAAGCCCTGGTCCACATCTGGATATAGGAGTTAAGCAGTATTTGATCTGGTGTGTTGTTACACGCTTCCTTCGTCAGCTACGGCTAGCCCGTCTAGCCGCGCTGTTCCCCCTGTGATGTCATCTGGTGGCTTGCAAATTGCAATGTCGTGAAGCAAGCAATGACGTCACACACGGCTCTAGTAGACCTCCCCGTCGATAGACCCCTCCGGGCTGTCCAGGCCGACCTCTTCGTAGTCCTTCTCCAGAGCAGCCAGGTCCTCACGTGCCTCGGCGAACTCGCCCTCTTCCATACCCTCACCGACGTACCTGGAACGTGCGAATGTTACACCGTGAGATAAAACAGTACGTTCTCACGTAAAAATTACCAAACAAATATTGATATAGGTATTGCTTTATTGGTAACTTTGGGCGAGAATGGTAGAAAACGCTAGCGTTGCAAGCACATTGTATACTGAATAAAACATGACGTGCGTCCCCTTATTTGTCCTCTAACGTTTTAACTTCTATTGCCATGAGCCTCCGATTATTTATCCCTGAGTGCGCCCTTGACATGACCCGCCCGCTGTCTGTCCCTGAGTGCGCCCCTGTCAGTGAGCGCCGCCTCAGGTCAAAGGTGACGGACGGGTCGGTGGGGTGGGGGAGGGGGAGGGGCAGTGGACACTGGACTGACAGCGAGCAGTAGAGAAGTGACAATGAGCGGTGGTGTAGTGACAGTGAGCGGTGGAGTAGTGACAGCGAGTGGCAGTGGAGACGATAGTGCGTAGTGCTGAGACTGATAGTGAGCGAACGGAGAACTGGCGAATTGGTGAATGTCAAGTGACAGATTTGGGCGTTACAAAGAAGTTGGACGATTGGGCCTTCCGGCTACGGGCACTTAGACAACAGCGTTGAAAAGAAAAGTGGGAATCTCGACAAAAGCGGAGCACACTGCACGTAAGGTAGGTGACATTGAAACTCTATATCTACCATCTACGGCCCTCCAGCATGAGCAAAAGAGTGATCGGTTAGCCTACATATGTGCTTTTGGTGTAATAACTTTGAATGACAGACACTCCTATAAAATGACTCAATAGAAATGAAAAGAGGGTTCGTGCACACACTTCGGCAATGGTTTTCAACAGCCATTAGACGTTTTCATCAATGCAGATCGCTTATTGTTATTGTGATGCTGGCAACCAACCACTAAATACCTGGAGAGCCGTATATTCAGTTATCTTTACCTTGAAACTTTATTTCCAGTTTGGGTACCGGTAGAGTAACAGGTTCACTAAGCCACTGAACAAGTCATCGGTTTTTCATTTCATGTGCGTCCATCATATCATGAATGGTTCAAACTCCTTCCTAGCTCCTAAATCCCACCCCTAACTCACCAATGGACGAAGGCGCGTTTGGCATACATTAGATCGAACTTGTGGTTGAGTCGCGCCCAGGCCTCTACAATGGCAGTGGTGTTGGACAGCATGCAGACGGCTCTGTTGACCTTGGCCAGGTCACCGCCGGGCACCACGGTCGGCGGCTGGTAATTGATGCCCACCTACAGGTCAGGTCAGGTCAGAGGCATGTTTTACATATACAAATCAGGTCAAGGTCGGGTTAGGTCATGGTTGAAGTTACGAAATCAAAGATCGCGACGTTTGTAAACCTTTGATGGCTGAAAATATCCATGTTCGGGGTGACGATACGAACAAGCACCTTCATTCAAATTCTGACCTATCTAGCTAGGCTACCCAATATTTTGTAACGTCAGAGCTCGTGTTACCTTGAAGCCGGTGGGACACCAGTCGACGAACTGGATGGTCCTCTTGGTCTTGATGGTGGCAATGGCAGAGTTGACGTCCTTGGGGACGACATCACCGCGGTACAGCAGGCAGCAGGCCATGTACTTGCCCTTACGTGGGTCACACTGCGGACAGGGGGAGGAGAAGATGTCAGTGGGGGATCAACGGGGAAGGAATTAGTCACCACGGACGCGTATGTCAAATAACTCAGAAGGTATTTTCCTCTCTCTCTCTCTCTCTCTCTCTCTCTCTCTCTCTCTCTCTCTCTCTCTCTCTCTCTCTCTCTCTCTCTCTCTCTCTCTCTCTCTCTCTCTCTCTCTCTCTCTCTCTCTCTCTCTCTCTCTCTCTCTCTCTCTCTCTCTCTCTCTCCTCTCTCTCTCTCTCTCTCTCTCTCTCTCTCTCTCTCTCTCTCTCTCTCTCTCTCTCTCTCTCTCTCTCTCTCTCTCTCTCTCTCTCTCTCTCTCTCTCTCTCTCTCTCTCTCTCTCTCTCTCTCTCTCTCTCTCTCTCTCTCTCTCTCTCTCTCTCTCTCTCTCTCTCTCTCTCTCTCTCTCTCTCTCTCTCTCTCTCTCTCTCTCTCTCTCTCTCTCTCTCTCTCTCTCTCTCTCTCTCTCTCTCTCTCTCTCTCTCTCTCTCTCTCTCTCTCTCTCTCTCTCTCTCTCTCTCTCTCTCTCTCTCTCTCTCTCTCGCCTTCTTTATCCTCACTCTACCCACCAACGCATCGTTTTCCCCTAGTCCAACTCTTCACTCAACAAGACCAGCGCCATCACTGTCGTTCATTCTTTTTCTCTCCGCTCATCCTTCAATATCTAATTCCCTCAACCTCTTCAACCAATGCTCCAGCACCTTCGCATTCCAACCTACCTTGACCATCTGGTTGGCCGGCTCGAAGCAGGCGTTGGTGATCTCAGCAACTGAGAGCTGCTCGTGTTTAGCCCGATCTGAGGACAACACTGGTGCATACGTCACCAACGGGAAGTGGATACGCGGGTACGGCACCAGGTTGGTCTGGAACTCTGTCAGGTCCACGTTCAGGGCTCCATCAAAACGCAGCGAGGCCGTGATGGAGGAGACGATCTGGCCGATCAGGCGGTTGAGGTTGGTGTACGAGGGTCTGGCGATGCTGAGGTTGCGCCGGCAGATGTCGTAGATGGCCTCGTTGTCGACCATGAAGGCGCAGTCCGAGTGCTCCATGGTGGTGTGGGTCGTCAGGATGGAGTTGTACGGCTCCACAACAGCCGTGGATACCTGACGGTGGCGAGAAAAGAAAAAGTGTTGGAGATAAACGCATGTAATACTCATTACTTTTCTGGGTGGTTTCTATAAAAACGTAGATTGTTTCCTTGAAAAGGAAAAATAGCAAAGATAAAGCCAAGTGGAATGCGCAGTAAACTGCGGATCAGACACCTATTCCATCTATTGTCCTAATGAGTAATGGATGACCATTGCCTTGGCATTCTAAAGCCCTCCTCAACACATATCCTTTCTCTCGTAGATATCATTCTCCACCATACCTGCGGCGCCGGGTAGACAGTGAACTGCAGTTTGGACTTCTTGCCGTAGTCGACGCTGAGACGCTCCATCAGCAGCGAGGTGAAGCCGGAGCCGGTGCCGCCGCCGAACGAGTGGAACACCAGGAAACCCTGCAAATAAAACACACTTTACTTGTAAAACAGCATATCAACAACAAAAAATATATTGAAAATATAAAAATCTGAGTCACCAGTCTGTAGGAGCCACATATTAGCACGTAATTGTAGCCCAATGTAGCCATGACAAAACATCCCGACACAGAGCGACACACCAATCACCATGAACATAGAACGTAGAACATTGCATGAATCACCCCCAAGACCAAGCCCATGCGTGGTAGAGGGTTGGGGCGATACAGCGAAATGGAGCAATGGTCAATGGAAATGAGGAACAGTATTGTGTTGAGCTATGGATGCAATAAACCCGTTAATTAGTCGAGAACAATAACATATGACAAACTGAAGGTAGGCCTGCCTTCCATATGCGAATTTTAGTCAATCGTTCAGTACATACTGCAACATCATCAATAAATATCTACTACAGCACGGACAAAAATGTCCAGCCCTCAGACGACCGGAGTGATGTCCGCTGATCAAATACCCACATACCTGGAGTCCCACGCAGTTTTCGGACAGTTTCCGGATGCGGTCCATGCAGATATCGATGACCTCCTTGCCGACGGTGTAGTGACCTCTGGCGTAGTTATTGGCCGCGTCCTCTCGTCCGGAAATCAGCTGTTCAGGGTGAAACAGCTGACGGTATGGGCCCGTGCGGATTGAGTCTGAAAGAGGTCACTGGTTAGACAGCATGTCAGGAAACAGGACGCTACTTTTGGTGTGAAGAAGTGAAAAGCGACAATCTGGGGATTTGTGCTATGACGGATCCATCTGATATTTAGGGTCAAATCCAAAAGTGTCCGTGTGACACCTACGAAATTATCCCAATTTTTCTTGCGCCGGAGGCACTTAATTTCCAACGAAAGTTGTAGTAAACGGATATTTCAGTGATAGTATTTTGTGTCAAAAGGTACAATACGAGTAAAATGCGACAATCGTGTTCCTACAAAACTGCAGACAGCAGACTTCAATTCAATGTCCTATAAGCTCTAAGAAGAGGCAAAGCTATCAGCGCTGAAATTCAGCAGTACCGGTGAACTTGGAATAAGAGTCCAGATATATGCATTTTCATACACATAGCAGGCTACCTATGCATCCATCATAATGCCATCTTGAAGCTCTTTCCTTCGACCCAGCCCCCGATTCTTTCACACCTACCAACAACAGTGGGCTCGAGGTCGACCATGATGGCTCGCGGCACGTGCTTGCCGTTCGACGTCTCGCTGAAGAAGGTGGAGAAGGTGTCATCGTTGATCGAGTCGCCGCTGTCTGTGGTGCGACCTCCGCCGTTCATACCGGGCGCTGTAAAAGGAAGGAAGCTGTCATAAAGAGAATAGTATACGCATACACAATGCACAATGTGTGTTGTTTTTTTTTTTTTTTGCAGACATTTTGTGACTAAAAACTGTGCAATGCGCATGCAAATAGGGGCTGTTGCTTATTTGGTATTCGAAAACTTGCCACCTGCCGCAGTGGTATGGAATATGTCAACGGTTTCCTAAAATCCTGTCAGTGATGCTGTTATCATCATGGCCTGTTTCAGCTAATCATAGCCAAGGCTGCTAAATTAGAGAAGTCTGATTCAGGAAAAAATGATTCGGGTGTCCATTTTATGAAAAGCGATGCTGTCACCTCTCATTCCTGCTTTACAATACCAGAGTGGTCAGTGGTCACCACTAATCCGGAAAACTAGTACACTAAGGCACTTTGACGATTATGACTTCACCTCACAGCCTTGAAGCGTTTTTGTCTGAGCTCATCGTGGCGGTAAAGTGATGGATCATATATGATACCGCCGTTTTGACGTGACGCTTTAAATCCAACTCACGGCCCGTACTAACGAGTTTCCTTCCTGATGGAAAATCATATTGTAGCGTTACCGCTTCACACCATAATTATGAATTCGCTTCGCCATAACCGCAGGTTGTTTGAAAAGACAAACACTATTCGTAAGAATTGTGTTTTTCTAAATTGAAAAACAACCGGAGCGGTCCTTAGACTTGTTAAACAGTAGCGTGAAATTATACAGTTAGTTAGCAGAACGTGCGCAATCTGACAACATTGCGAGGCTAATTTGGGTGGAAACTAAGCCAATAAGACACCCCAGTGCACCGTCGCAAGTCATTGAACTTGTGTGACCTTAAATTGCAGCGAATGTTGTCGGGCGAATATTGACAAGCGTAAGTGTCATGGGGCCAGCTACATAAATTACGACTTTAGTGTTTACATCGATTATTAACCACGAAGAAAGCCAAAACACCCATAGGGAACGGCAAAGACCGGAGCCAGTTGGCTGCTGTTAAACAACAAAGGATGCGGAGACTGAAGGAGGCAGTAGGGTGTGTCTGCTCGCCGTCACGGTTTCATCACTCCGTGCACCTGCCGGCCGCGTCTGTGACGCTCGGCTGTCCGTGACGGTTGACTGTTCGTGACGCTCGACTGTTCGTGACGCTCCACGGTTCGTGGCGGATGGAGGGGGGGGGGGGTAACCGACAAACTGCCACGGTCCAGCAGGGGTCTGGCTGGCGGAGGTTGGTGCAAGGACGGCAGGAAGGTCGTGATCGGGGGAGGGAAGAGGAGGAGGTATCCAGTGGGGTAGAAGGGTTCATTGAGGGATCTCATCACCATCGCTCGGACTTAGGCATTCAAAATATGCATTCAGAGTGGTATAAGGCAATAAGAGGGATAAAAGGATCTGCTAAGCCATTTTATCGCCATTCTTTTCCTGGCAGAGCAATGGAGTGACCGTAAGAAACTTCGAAAAAAAGATTTATATAAACTTGTCTAACAACAGAGACTAAAGCCTGCTAGCGGTGCCCTGGGCTAAGCTACCTCCTGACGGTGCCGGCGTGACTAAAACCGGCCGACAGTGACCAAAACCTGCTGACAAAACCCAAGCAGCTCCGTCCACCGGATGTGGGCCATTTAACCGGCCTGCAGTGGGCAGACTGCCTCGCCGCCGGCGGTGGCGGCGTCCGTCCCTTCCTCCCACGAGCGGTGACTTCCTGTCGACTGTAGCACGCCACCGCGGGCATCGGCGTCCGGTGGTTAAACAATTATCGGGAGGACGCTTCTTCGGATCGGTGAGCCGGGAGGTGTTGAAGGCAGGCTACAAAACTTGGTAGAGTTGGGTATGATGTGAGATGTTGAATAGGAAAAATTGAATCGGATTGTAAATAAATAATTTGTTATTGGGGAATTATAACTTATGAAGAAGGTGGTGAAAGAAAATTGAAACATACTGGTATATAATATGCATTCGAGAACTGATGTAAGTTGCAGTGGTGTTTTGGGATTTTGAAAGTTTTCTGGAATATGCTCAGTTCCTTGAATTTGCGGAAGAAAATCCCTAATGGATAGGAAGAGGAGAGGAGAGGAGAAAGTGAGAGAGAGAAGTCAGCAAAACACAGTTTTAGGTCTTGACGCACTTGTAAACTTCTCTCACATGGGCTAAATGACACCACCGTATTCCGGAAGGGACGGGGACGCACCGGGGGGCAGGGCGGGGCGATGGGGACGGGACAGACAAATGTCACTCAATGGTAAGTGCTGCAGAGCTCGGCAGTTACGACCACCTGTGTAGCATACACCAGCCGGCGTCTGACGTGAGTGAGACATGGCTCCAACGTCCCCTGGCGCGTGTCCCGGGGGCTCTCACAATAATATTCTCTCAGTTCTCATCACCCACTGCCTTCACCACCAACCACCTTTCGTTCTGATCATCCTCTCACGACCCGACCGCCGATTTCCCATAGACACGGGATTCAGATGTCGCTCTAGCGCTCACTTGCCACGGCTATTGGTTTGGCCGCGCGTCCGTCGCAACTAAGATATTCTGAGGTGTGAAGGAATAAGCTTACGTGAATATGCCTATCCTTTTTTAGGATTTAGTGCGTTGAAAATTAGAGGCTTTCTTGAAAGAACCCAACAACGAGCCATTCAATAAAAAAGATTACCCTTTTAGCTTCGCAGTTCGCAATGTAAGACGATCTTGATATATTACATTCCTACTTCCCAGCATCCAGCTCGAATAGAAACATAGAACATCCACAATAACTATGTAAGATAGAGAACTAAATTTGTTAGAAAATAACAATTTCACCCAGCCTTACATCATAAAACGAAAAAAAAAAACGTTTCACGCGGGCGCGGCAGCAAAACATTTGGTTGAAGCTGACGCAGTCGGTAATGCGGCACAGCCTATACCACCCGGGGGCGACTGTCCTTGACCGAGCGGCCCGCGTTTGGCAGTCTGCCAAAGACTGCGGGTGACATCACCCGTGCCCTGCGGCGCTCGAGACTAATAGGAATTCACAATGAAGACGTAAGTGTTACGATAGATGGAAGTATTGCTACTTTTTTAGCGGTGTGCTTGCATGGCAATTCGGTTTTGTTTGTTTAGAAGTGGTTGGTGATGTGAAGGTAGATGCATATTCATTCATTTATGGCATAGCAAAAGTATGCTTAAGTCTGCCATAAAAATACTAAATGATTATTTTAAACATTTGTTGGACGGTCATGCCTATAATTATGAATGCTTACCAACATGATAAGAAATTGTGTTTTAGTTATTTCAGTAATATGAATTTTCACTCCCATAAACACTTTTCAATCACGCACTCAACCCAGACGGCTCGTTTTGTACCTTCCTACCCCCCCCCCCCCACCTACCTGCATCCTCGTGCAGGAATCCGTCGGGCCGGATCCCGTGCTCCATGCAGTAAAGCTCCCAGCATCCGTTACCCATCTGTACACCGGCCTGGCCAATGTGGATGGAGATACATTCCCGCTGTGGATCAGAGCGAAAACAGATGGTCAGAATGGTGACAAATCACGTTAAAACTGGTTAGGAAACACGGTAGGTCGCATAACCGGCACACAGGACAGAGTATGGCACATAAGGTCAGAATGGTGACAGATCATGTGAGGACATAAGACTGGTCACGAAATATCACATGTTTGTCACATAACCTCACTCAGGTCAGAGTATGTCACAAAAGCTCACTGAGGTCACGTAAGGTCGATGAGGTCACATTAGATCACTGAGGTCACAGCAGGTCACGGTAAGTCACACATGGCTCCCGTACAACAGTTTGTGTCACGGTAGGACGACTCAAAGACAATAGAGTCATCTGTGAGAACCAGAAGCGTGTCGATGTTTCTCGTCACAGTACCCCAAAAGCGCTAGTCGTGCTCCACGCGGGGCTTTAGCGAGGTCAAGAGAACACGCTAAATGCCCTCCTGCACAGCGAATCCACGCATACGCCAAAAAAGCCACAGCTTGAATTGGTGTTGTGTTCAGCTTCGTGAGTGGAAGCGAAAGAGGCTTGGGTGGGATGCCTTTTGAGCGTGCGACTCGATAGCACGAAAGGCACAGAGGAAGACAAAAATACAGCTCACGAGCGACACGAACATGGTGCATGCACGGAACAGAGGTAACGGGCCGCCAGCGGCAGCACTTCGGTCTCACGAAGGTATCAAGACATAGGTCAATATCTCAAAAAGACATAGGTGACACTGGGGATAACTTATCAGTTTAGTTCTTTTTGCAGCTTTGAGAGCTATTGGGTTTTTAACTTTCCCCTGGCATGAGCTTGTAACTGGTTGAAGAAGAACAACAATTTATTAAAGGCAACAAAGCATGGATTATTTCGACTGAGATGAATACCGTGGTTCCCGGTGGTCCTCGATTCTGATGAATATCAAGTGTTGCTCGTATTTCATTGGTGTGAACTGTGCTTTCAACAGCTCATTTTCCAATCTGTTATTCCAGGGAACTCGCACTGCAACTTGTTCTACCGAGCATAATTACATGCCGCTGTGGTAAAATGCGGTGAGGTTTATGTCCCGTTGTTCTGGAAGGCGGTGGTTCTGCTAGAATTTCTGCGCGGCACGACCTGTGGGTGGAAAGTCACGCGCTGATTGGCTGATGGCGTCTATCGTCAGCAGACCAGAAAACTATCACGAACATGGCATCACCTGAGCGCACCAGAGCTCCAGAGAGGCGGGAGTGCGGTACAGCTAACGGAGAGAGAGAGAGAGAGAGAGAGAGAGAGAGAGAGAGAGAGAGAGAGAGAGAGGGGGGGGGGGAGAGAGGGGGGAGAGAGAGGAAGCTAGGGAGGGAGCTAATTAAAAATAACTGGAGCTGTTGATTGTGAAAAAATGTGCATCAGAGCTGTGAATTTAGTAACGGCTGCCGCTGAAATTTTGCATGGTGTGTTTAGACAAGTAACATGTCGTTTATTCTAATGAAGTCAATAAAGCTTTTGTATGCTACGCGTCAGACAGAGTATCAGCTTAATTGCTTCGATTAACCCGCGCCCTGGTGGGGTCTGTTTATAACGCGACCTGGTGGGGGGCTATTTTTTGCCCCCCTCGTATCTCCGAAACTAATGGACGGATCCGCAAAATTCCAACGGCATTCGATAGCCCTGTCAAATTTGTCGAAGGAAACCAAATTTCATTGACCTCGGGGTTACCGATGACGTCACAGGTCAGGTCAAAGATGAAATGTTTCACCGTTCACGGGTCTTCTAGGGAATGCGCTAAACACCGAAGAAAACGCATTTTGTCGAGAATCAGCGATAGGGATTCAGGTGCCTAGTACATATGTTGCTATAAGAGGTCACTGACAATACCAGGTCAGGTCACAGGTCAGGTCACCAAGGGTCACAGGTCAGGTCACATGAACCTAACTTTAGGTACCGTAAAGTGGGGCTATTTGAGACAGTGGGGCTATTTGAGACAGTAAGGTAATGGTATAGTAAAATCGCTGTAAAATGAAAACCGTTTGATGCTTTTTCGTCATTTCTGCTTAGGCTAATGTGGAATTGAACAGTGAATGCTCTGAATAACCTTTTTGAAAATTTCGAAAAGTTCTGAAAGAAATTTGCAATAAAATACGAAATACAGAAAAACGCACAATTTAAGTTGCTCGAAAAGGACCCCTACCTGCAGCTTAAAAAAGTTGAAGTTTTAACAGCTTCGCCACTGTATCCATCGTTACTACCTTTTTGCTTATAGGCTAAGCACATTTTTCATGAAAATATTATATATTGTTAACGGTACTGCCGATTGCATAACCCATTGTCTCAGAATCCCGATGATGCCCACCTGGTCATACCTCAACGGATATGCCAAATAGCTGATGATAACGGTGATGCGATGCACCCGAGAAGACTTACCGCCATCTACCTGCAGTGCATCGAACGTTCGACATAAGCATCACCGGTGAATCGGTCGTGGTCATAAACGTGCAGTGGGTTCATGGTAGGTACTTCAAGCAGCAAGCAATATTTACATGTTCGTAGTGTAACATAATAACCCTTTAGCTGGTGACCAAACTAGTTATTCTGATGAATATGTGCTTAAAATGTGCTTCATCAGTCACTGACTCAGTCGACAATCAGCCCATATGTCTACCTTGGTTGCCCAAAAAACACCATTGAATGTTACTTAACACATGAACGTACTGTTAGGTGAGCCTATCCAAGTACTTGATGTGGTAGGGTAACCGGCCAATTGATACAGCATGCAGCGATCGAGGAAAATTGGCATAAAATCAAAACCGTTTAACATTTTTCTGTTATTTCTTCGCATTGAGATGTACAATGGAACAAACAATCATGCAGATCATTCACTCAAATGTTTTCGGAAACCTTTTGCCTTGTTTGATTCATTACAGTGTGCTTCATAAGGTAGCGAGACTGTCTCAAATAGCCCCACCGACTTTCGGTATATCTGTTTTCACGTCACCGGGGCTATATACAAAAACTTTCTTTCAAAATTTTACTGTCGATGACTTTAAAATAGTCCTTGATGATCATCCTGTCATTTTGAAAGCTATGGGTCACATCATATTATGATAGCCTTAGCATATAGTGATGCAATTTTATACCCTACCAAAATGAAGTGTCATACGAAAAAGGAAAAGATTGAATATAAAGGTCATATAACAGTCTTTGAAAAAAACAATTTTTGCCAAAATGATCAAAATTCAATTTCCAAATGCATGGCGTTTAAAAAATTATCTCTAGCGTGACCGATTTTCTTTAATTTCTTTGCAACTAAAAGTGTCTCAAATAGCCCCACCCTATGGGGCTATTTGAAACAGGCTTTAACATAAAAAATAGCCTTAATCATTATTACTAGCTGAACCAAAATGCACCTATATGAAAGAGCTCACAGAGAACTACATTTTTGCAATTTACATGCTATAAGAAATATGAACCGTCTTAAAGGGAGAGGCCAAAAACTGTAAAATCCGTTTCAAATAGCCCCACTTTACGGTACTTTGGTTGTGCGATGCATGTTTTGTGGCCAATTTTTCATTTCCAACTCAATGGTGTTCGTTATAAGAGTATCAGGTACGGCTTAGGTCACTTTCTGGTGAAGGTCAGGTCAAGGTCAGGTCAAAAAAGGTCAAATTTTAAAGTTGATAGTTTTGCATAAAATGGGTATTGATTCGATGCAACTCGTCACGGAGAGTCTAATGGTGGTCTTTGTTTTGCGCTACGGGGTCTAGAATTGCTAAAAATTGAGTTTGAAAATTTGACGTCATCAATTTTGAACAGTTTATTCGCTATAACTTTACCAAAAAAAAGAGGTATCAATCTGAAATTTGGTATGTGGATAGAAGGCCGTAAGAACTATCACATATGTTCCTGTTTTTGCGAAATTCAAAAAACTTTTTAGATTTGTCGGCTATTATATTCAAAAAATCTATTTTTTTATTTTTTGGGGGTCAAAATCCAGAAATTTCAAAAATGCGAGATAGCAATTTTGTAGCCCTGTCAATTCTACAGCTTTTATGTCTTTATCGTTTTTCTGTATTTGCAAAGCTATAGGCCGGACAGCTCTTCCCGCGAAACCCTTTTTTGGGTCGAAAACGGCAGAACATAACGTCACTCTGACGTCATTTCTGGCCAACCTATCACAGCCTTTGGAAAAAAAAATTGGTCACAACGTGTAAAATTGATGTCCGGGAGGTTACTGAAAGTTTGGTGACGATCAGCGCAGCGGTTCTGGAGATATATCGAAAAGTCTGGAGGGGGGAATAGCCCCCCCCCCCACCCACCAGGGCACGGGTTAACTTCCATAACATTATGAGTTGCAGTGATATGTTTTTGTTGTTTTCACGCGACGATATACGCGATGTTCTACGGCTCGTTTCCCACAAATTTAATGCAGTATGCATCTTTTGATGCATGCCATTGTATCAGTCATTATGTATGAAATTGAACATCGTAACTTTTTGCTGCGTAACTTTTAACAAAAGCCACTTGGCTGAAGACTAAAACGATGACATCATTGTGGACAGGGCATTGTTCAGAGCAAACGCAAAGACAGCCAGGGAGCAGTGCAGATTTCATCACATACAGCAGAGGCATAGTTAGTGCTTTCTCGGCCTGAAACACAATGGCCAGAGTTTCAAAGGGGTGCTACGTCGTCGACCCACCCCCAAAACGGTCACGGTATAGCGTTAGGTTTGCTTCATATTTCACCAGCGCTGCTGGTTGAAGATTCTCTTTGGTTTCAAATTGTGTTCAACTAAAAGTATTCTATTTATTAACCCTCGCCCTGGCAGGGGGGGGGTCGATGCGACCCCCCCCCCTAAGGTTTTTCGAAGATAGCGTAAAAACGGCGGCGCGCAGCGCCGCCAAATTTGGCACAGCCTATGGGGCAACCTTTTTACATATGACCTGAAAATTTCAGGTCCGGGTGACCTTGGGTCAGGTCACCAGGTCAGAAAAACCGGTACAAGGTCATGGTCAAATTTCAATTTTCTTT